TATATATATATATATATATGTGTACCTATATTTTTGTAACAATGGTTAGAGACTCCTACGTGGGATGCCATTATGTATATTTTATGCGCGAAATAAAGGAAACACCTTTGCAAGAATTATGTTGTCTCTATTCACTATAGGTCCCGCGGGTTACTGAAATCCACGCGAGATGGTAACACACACCTGCGTTACTACATATTGCCTTTCCCTTTCCTCTCATTATTATAATTAGTCATTTCAAATTGTTCGTGCCGGGGGTTACATAAATTCGTATGTACGCGGGCTACGTGCGATCATCGTTTCGCGATTTATGGTTGCGTGTATTTCGCAACGCACCGTCTCTTGTCTTCTGCGAGACGTGAGGTGAGTCAAGTTAAGTCGAGTCAAGTCGAGGCAAATCATTCGACGGGCAAATGATTTTGCGGATTCCCATGGCAGTGACGTTACATTAGATAAACGAGTTGTGAGAGGTCTGCTGCGGTTCGTTCACGCATCTTAAATTGTCTGACATAGCTAACTGGGTCGTACGAAATACCTCCTATTATTCACATCACTCTCGTCAGATTGTTCTAACGACGCGACGCGCCGTCATTCCATCAAGAGAGAGAAAAACGAGGAAAAATGACACTTAATATCATAGCGCGCAGGGTATCAAATGTGATAGAAATAGACGCGCGTAAACCGCGGGATATGCGTCGGGATCGGTATATACCCGAGTAACAGAGTAACACAGGCAATTCCAGCCGGTTAGTAGTATCGCGCGAATAATCAGACGCCCGCTGTTGTAGTTTGTAATGAAAGGAGTTATACGCAAAGCCAATTAAACTTTGGTCTGGAAAACGGCTAGCTTCGGGCAAGATAACAAAGGTCAATGGCTAATTAACAACGCAATTAACAACGCATGCAAATTAGGAACGTAATTTGTGTGCGTTGCTGAATATTGTAAACGCATTGCATATTGTATATAGTATTATTCTGTGTAAATGACTTGATAACGAAAACTAGATAAGAAAAGTTTCTCGCGTCGCAGCTGCATTACAAATGCATACAGATTTTTATCTCAATTAAACAACAAATTACATGAGCTGTTTTATCGCGACTCTAAAAAATGTTTTAAAATAATTTTGAACGAAAATTTCATGGAAGATTATTCGAGATTCAATTTTAATTAAGATTAAAAATATAATTTTTAATATTTATTACTGACAAGAATTTTAATAAATTTTAATAAATTATTAATGGTACAAATATCTTATTGTACATCTACTCTTTTTTCGTAAAATATCCGCTTTTACCATAAAATATCAGGAGTTTGATAACGGAATCTGATGGTATAAGCCGAAGATGAATCTCTTTCTTTCTGAGGTATTAAGAAATAATCAAAGGGCTGCGCAAAATAAAAGCGCGATGCAAATTGAAAATGTATTGTATAACGTAATATATTATGAGTCACTTTTCATGAATACATAATGGATGAGTCTACGACGAAACGCGAATTCCGTTTCGTCAGCGTGGTGCACGAAGGTTCCGTGGAATACATGTATACATGAAAATGGTCTCGCTTGCACTTACATATTTGGTGCAACAGCAAGGCGATGATCGTGTGAAAAATGTAGAAATTAATGGGAAGACGCCGCGCACAGCTTAGAAATTACCGGCCCGTTACGCAAGCCAACCTTGAATGACATGCGGACTATCTCGCTCGAAAAGTAGACCATCAGAGTGGTGATAGTGACGGATCACCTGTTAACAGATCTGACTTGCAACCTGACCTTTTGCAGCTGGTACTGATTCTGTAGACACGCAATGTTGACTATTTGTTGTGAGAAAGTAGAAATAAACATACACACTTCTGTCTCTACCTTTATTTCTCTCTCGGTCAGCATTACCGTATGTGTAGTTAATTGGCGTGCGTAATTGAGCTTTACCTATGCATAATGGGGATAACTAACGAATCAGTCAAGCGAAGAAAATCCTATTCAAAGATGATTATATCATGTAGGGTACAGTGAAATTTTACACGCAATTTACGTGACGTTTTTACAACGTTAGTATAATCTCTTACTTTGTAAAAACATTCTGTAATATAAAATAAGTTAATTAACTGAAACTGAACAAGGTAAATGAAACATTTTCACAGAGAAAAGCAGAATCTCGTAAAAAATAATGATTTAAAATGGAATTCTCTTTGCTTAGAGATAAACACACATAAATTGTAAAACGGAAGTCAATTTCTTATTTTTTATTAAAAAGATTTATTAAAAAGATTTATATTTTTATTAAAAAGATTTATAATGCAGATTGCCTCAAATGTCTTTAAATTTAAGATAAAAAATGTATGCTCCGTGCAAAATGCTCATTAATGACAATTTCAACTCTTGAGAATCGATACCTGTTGCATATCTAATGGCCATGTACACACTCGAAACATAATATTTTTTTTCCGATTTGTTAGCTCGAGACGCGCGCATGTATCTTAGCAGGGATATCATTCGATGGGCACGACGGAGATGCAACGATGACGAAATTTGTCAGCTCTTCAACTACCGACTACATTATTGCATCTCCCCATGATACGATACGGACGATGAAACCCGCTGTCACGGAAAATAGGACGAAAAACGGCGGGCAGCAGATGGTGTAGCCAATATTGCAAGGCGATTTGTGCAATTTCTGTAGATTGTAAATTGCAAATGACCGCGCGTGTTGCGGGATCCTCGGTTAAGGCAACACGTTTGCCTTTGTAAATTTTACGAATCGCAGACCGAACAACGTTCGCCTTATGGCGTCGCTACAAGAATCGATACTCCCTCTCTCTCTCTCTCTCTCTCTCTCTCTCTCTCTCTCTCTCTCTCTCTCTCTCTTCGAGCTTTACGATTTATGCAATAAATAAAAATGAGCGCTGCAAAATATACCACCGTTGCAAAATATCATACAAGCTGTCTAGTCATCATGCATAATGGTAGCTTTATAGATTGTTTATGAAATATTAAGGATTATAAAAACATAGTTATTATACTTAGTTTTTAGAAAAAGCAGCTGTTTGCGATTAACAAAATTTGATTTCTACATTGTTAAATCTACAGTCAAATTTCATCTAATTTAAGTTGCCACTGTTCCTATTCAATATATTGAGTATTTATATACTAAAACAATGTATAAATTTGACACTATATAATGTCAAATTTATCTCTTGTTTTAGTATAATATAATAATGTAATATATTGAGTTAAATTAGATTAAATTTGACACTATAGATTAACAGTGTGTGCAAATAGTTGCAGCATTAATCCAAGATAAGTACTGAAACTGACATATACGATCATAATAGAACAATCTTGCAGGTATCGTTAGTCAGAATACATTTACAATGACGAGTGGCAAC